TTCCTTGCACATTTTATCTAGTGTTTGAGTTTTTGCTTTACAACAAATTATTGGAACGCATTCTCAGTTGATATTTCAAATCATTGCATTAATATCTGCAAGCGTAAAATTCACCTTTACAGTGTTTATTTAAAAATCAATGCTTGCGCCATTTTTTATAGATATTTTGTAGTCGACCACTCAAAAAAATGATTTCGCATCTGTGTTATACAGTAAAGGTTGCTCAAGAACAGAAATAGATACACTTCACATATTATTCATCGTGCTCTTTTCACTGGTATACTAAGTTCTCTTTACTTTTGATATCAAATCTTGTTGATATGCATCAAACCAGTGCATGATAGCCATACCACCTCGAAGGTAAATGATAAGCAGATAGTTTAAACTTCTTTTTCATTTGTGCAATTCTACAAATGAATAAATGCGTAGTTTCTTCTCTCGATAAAATTTTATAAAACATTGAGTGTAGCGAACTTAATAAATAGGTCAATTTTCAAATAAATTAAATTATATTATGTATAAATTAAATGTTACTATGAATTATCTGATAATCAATCATAACGTATCATTGATAAAAGACAAATCTTTCGTTGTTATGAAAGTGGTATAAAAGTCGTTCGACGACAGTAGTCGACTCATTAGATTTTATATGTGAAAGATAATCTACTAATTATCATGAATAATATTCAATCTTCTATTTCAAATCGGCTTGAAATGCTTCCAGATGAAATTTTTCTTGAAATCTTCAAATATTTAAAACCAATTGATCTTCATAGTTTTATAGGACACAATTTACGACTCAATAATATTATACACGACGTAAAACTAAACATCCTCATTAAATGTCATGAAAAAGAAGAAGAAGAAGAAGATTTCGATCATCTGAAGAGTTTTCTTCCAAATCAGTGTATTCATCTAGAATTATGCTACCCTTGGGACGCATTAGATTTGCATTTGTATACAGATCTACGTTCGCTGAAAATCGATTGTACTTTTCTGTTGAGAAGACAACTTTATCAGGTAAGTTTAATGGCTGTGTGAGTTTTTTTTGCAACACTATTGAGTAACTGATACAAAAGTACAAAACATGTTGTCGTTGTTATAGGTATTTACTGTTAAATTGCCATCTCTTGAGCGGTTTGCCGTATGTAATGTTCCCTATTCCTTCGGGAAAGTATTATTATCTTCGATTCTTGACAACAAGCATTTTCCATCACTTAAAGTCTGTCAGTTTTCTGGAAAGTTTTACTATATGCTAGATTTTAACAAGCGTTATCAATCACTAAACCCTACAATTCGTACAATTATCCTTCATAAATGGAATGCATCAATGTTGGGTCCTTTACTCAATTTTCTACCTAATTTATGTCGATTGGAAACAAATTTTTCAGAATCTATCAATGAGTCATTGAATTTCAACATGTATCATACTTCACTTAAACATCTGAAAATAACTCTTGTAGATCCATCTAGTGATCTTGAAAAGATACTTCCATTTATACCTAATCTAAAACAATTGCGTGTCACAGGGATGATTCGTGAACGATCGATATTCAAGCACTTCGAAAAATTGAGTAAAATTTTCTGTATTCATGCATCTGGTCTACAAAAATTCGATTGTGAATTATATTGTTACGCAACGAAGGACCAAGTCAATATTCTTATGATACAACAACTTCATTCACATTTCAAACTAATACAATGTCATTTAGGACAATTTTTAAGTCAATGTTACGCGACTGATCTAACGACTCAAACAACTTTGGAAGAGTTTGCATGTGAGTACAGAACACTTCATGTGACTTTTCATTTTTATATACTATGATTATATATTCGTGGTAAATGCGATATATGATAAAGAAAATTTATTCATAGAAGTTTGAAATGATTTTAATGAAATATGATATCATTAATTTTAGACTTCAAACGAACAAGAAACAATACTGCTGATTACTGTGAAGAAATCCATAGATATAACAGTGGTAATTATTATAATGATAATAATAATAACTGGGCTAATTCTGGACTTGACTATCGTACGAAATACAAAGAAAATTATCCATCTTTTCTATGGAATCGTAATAATAATGATTATTAATTTGGATAATCGGAAAGAAAGCGTGTTGAATTAAATATTTTACAAATGCGAAATTAGGTTGAAATGGTGACAGTATTTATCAGTAAATTTTATATGAATAAAGTCAGTGACTAAGTTGATGTTTCTTTTTATTGAGAATGTTTTCTACCGTCTAATTCAGAACACGATGTAGAAACAGCGTACTTCTCATAAAGAATTGTTTGCTTGATAGAAAGTTGATGAGAAATAGAAGAAGGAAAAGTTTAATTTAGTAACTAACAAATCACATCAATCATTAAAGAATCGATAATAAATTGGTGATTCGATTGAACATAGTAAGTAACTATGAAACAATAAATTTTCGCAACTATGTCGCATAAAATATTCTATGTTACTTATGATTATAAGCAAGACCAAATCTTCATGTTACATACCCTTTCTTTTTTGTCGATACTGATTCATTTGAAAGAAGAAGTAGTTAAAAAAAAGAGACACAAATCCGCAATACTAGTCGAACAAAGTTCAGCATAAAGTTTCGTAACGTGATCTATAATGAAAAAATGTATTGAAGAAAAGATCGTTGAGAGAGGAAAATTAAATTGGCAATTCAAGTTGAACAGTGATCTGTAAGTTCTTTAGCAGCTGCAACCCTACCCTGAGCAATAACATCACATAGCATATTATCTTCAAATAGATCACAAAATGGGGTGCACGAGGTTTAACACAAACTGCTGCTGTGGAGTGGGCTCCACATAATATTACAGTTAATGCTGATAGTACAGGTACGTTTTCGATTTTGTTTTTGAAGAATAAATCTATGAAAATTTATCAGGATTTATTAAAACGTCGTTGTCTGACAAGGCGAATAAAGACATCGCAAAAGATTGGGAACGACTTTGTGACAAAGATTCCACTTGGTCTTATAGGATATCCGGATGATGTCGCAAGCTTTGTTTCATTTCTTGCAAGTAAAGACTCTGACAATATTACTGGACAAAGTATTTTAGTCGATGGCGGCACAGATCTTTCTTAAATTTTAATTTATATCTATGCGAAAATGAAATTTATCTTTGACTACATTTATAAAACATATCGAGTTTGTTATCTAAAAAGTATCATATAAAAAAAATACATAAAACCTTTTCTGTTTTATTAAAATGTATTAACTGATGTTAAGAGGTCTTGAAGAAAAGTCAACTGGATTCAAATCCATCAATTTCGTGATTCATTGCTCACTGGAGAGAGCTAATTGTCTACTTTCGAATGTACCATAGTTAATTGATTTTAGGCTGAGATTCAAGGATATTATGCAAGTGTTTCTGAACCTTCCACACAAGAGAATAACCTTTTTTTGTTTTTTTCTCTAAAGAATTTTTTGATTTGATTGTGAGTGTACACATATAAGTCTGAGAATAATTGTGTTTCATTTACATCCGCACTCAACTGTTACTTATGTAGATATTCTGTTTTATTGATGAAATATTTATTAGCCATTTCTGTTCGTTCTATTTTATATCGACGTCATTGCTGACGTGAGTTTTCATTAGTATTGAGGTCTGCGGAAGTAACCTCATCCTTCGATTATATTGTCATCTTTTCGATTTCTTTGATGACACCGACTGCCACCATTTGCCTGTTGTCATAGATGATGAATCGACCTAAAGCAGAATAATCATCTAACGTTTCAGCACAGAGCGGCTCCATTGGGACAATCTTAATCAAAGCAGCTTCGCCCGACTTGATGAATTTTGGAGAGTTCAATTCTCTTGCCTGTTCTTCGATCGGTTTTTTTCCAGCAATTCAATAAACTGACAAGGAATTTTGACGTAATTGAGCCTACGCCAAGTGATGGACGCCCTTCCAAATAACATCCCTTAATATCGCTGGAGTGATATGTAATCTTTTTCTCTATCTCTCTCTAGCTTGCCTCTTCTCTGACGGAGAATACATAATTAGTACAGTACAGTTAGAATCAGTGTCGTGTTGTGTTGTGTTGTGGCGAGATACATATACACAGAATTGGTATATGTAAAAGCAGAATTATTTTGTGTATTTGCTGTGGATAATATATACATGCAGTTATTAAAAGCAGAGTTTTGCTGACTTGTTTGTTTTCTAAACTGATGATAAAATAAATCATTACAATTCGGTGTTATCCGAGCCTTCTTAGTTATACCATTTATACTCTTCGACGATTTGTTATCCATTATCTTATTGAAATATATACGTACATTTATGTATCTCGATACATTATATACACGAATATAATTACAAAGTTCGTTACAATAATGCCTCGCATTGATGGTCAATAATTTGAAACAGAATTGTATAGATTGTACAGCAGCAATAAAAATACAATTAGTTTTCATTTTGACACCGACTTTTCGACAAATTTATTATTGTTAACAAGATACAATCTCTGGTGTAAGGATGTGGGTGTGAGCATGAATATCACTTAGACGTGGATGTGTTGGTTACTGTTCTGAATGGATATCTACATCGACACCGACACCGACACCCACACCCTCATCTTTTCTTTTTAGAGAATATAGCATATGTGCAGATTCAATGATCGAAGTGTTTATTGATTTTTTATTAATAAATTGGAATTTAAAAATATTTTTGACGTGAAGCCTTCATCCGCACAGAAGTTCGAATCATTGTAGTTTACCTATGCATCCGTACTCTAATTGACTATCCTGAATAATTGAAATATGAGTAAAAAAAAACTAACTAGTCGGCATCGTTCGATAGTGATAATTATATTTTGATCAAAATGTCTAATTTTCGATGTTGGCCGGTTTATAACGTACATCCTAGGAAAAAATAGTGAATTAATTTAGTAATGTAAAAGTACTCGACATTATAATATCAAAGAGATACCACTTATGAAACAAAATGCTAGCAACATTCTTTTCGTGAGTTAACATTGAAACACTATATTAACAAAACATACCTGGTGGTTTTCATTACGATGTGGTTGGCAACAGCAACGCCCAATAGTATTACGACAAAAATTGCCACATCGAGCACAACAACCACCACCATTGTCAGGATCAAAATTACAACCATTGCAACAAAATATATCGATAATCATAATAAAAAAGCCACCAATCAAACCAAGAACACGGATACAACAACATGCATTGCCGTCGTTCTTATTGACATCATCAACCATTGAGATTGTAACCAGCAGGATTGTAACAGAAAAGAAAGATGGAGTACTACGCTTTTGGTAGTCGTTGCTGTTGATGATTATTGAAGTTTGCAGTGCTGCAGTAGCTTGTCGAATATTTGATGTTTATTTTTGTTGTCGTTTGTTACTTTTCATGTGCTCTTGGTGAGAAAAAACGAAAAATATTGAGACGACCTTTCCACTGAACGCTCCGTTATGAAGCATAACGCGAGTCAACAAATTAATTTTTTTAGCAACGAACGAAAGAAAAGAGGAAATAAATATGGCCATTAAGTATAGATGCCGTTCGTGAGACGTAGCTTCTCCTATGCTTTTGTAGCCAGAGTGAAAGTGTTTTTGGTCGGTTGAATCAAGAAATGTATTCGAAAGAAACAAGGACATTCATTCATTCATTTATCTTTTACTCTTTCTTTCCTTTTGAAACGCCAACAAAAAATCATTGAGAAATGTGACATAAGTAATGGCTACGAAGAAACATAAAGAGTCACAAAAACCTCGACAAGAAACGAGAATATTGAGAATTGATTTTCAATGATTTTCAAGTACACCAAAACCTCTTTATAGTGGACACTCACTGAACCCTTTCAAAGTGTCCACTATATAGGTTTGGTGTGTACTTTTGAGAGGGTTGCAATTTTTATAACGTAGTCAAACATGCACTTATTAAAGCATATTAAACATAATATCTCCACATTATTTTGCAAGAGAAGATGTGCTGAAAATGTTTTATATAATAATTTATTAACTGCCTTTTCAATTCATTTCATGAGAACTACTTTCCTAATTGTTCTTCAAGAACTGATTTTCTTGTACAGCTTGTTGCAAAAACATCTGTTGTATTCTTAATCTGATCCGAAAAAGCCACTTATACAACTTTCAGTGGATGCTTCTTTCAAGATAAAGATCACTCATCTCCGGTTCTTGAGGGTGTGGGTGGTGCGTAGATAATAGCCGATCCACGACAACGGTTGTTTCTGTCTTGGCTGCACTTCATCAGGTGGAATCTTAATATTATATATAACTAGATAGTAATTCTTTGAAAGTAGATAATATTTGAATTACTTTTCGACATAATAATTAATATAGCTATTTGCACATTAAATTTTTCAGTTAATCTACACTCTAAAAAAAATCGCTTTTTTACAGAACCTTAAAAGCTCTGTGACGCGATATGGCTGAGTGGTTATCTGCTCGTCACGTAACCACTAGGTACTAAGTTCAAACATCGGTAACAACAGTCATATAATGATCCTGGACAAGTCACCGATGCGAAATTATCTCGGGTTTCTCTAACCGATAACATAGTGTGTAAACATCAATATGTATAAGAACTCAACCACGATGTCTCACCCTGAAGTTTTCGTGTCGATAGCCAGTCTGAACTAAAAATTGAGCGTTGAACAGAAAAGAGTGCAGATGCTGCTTTCCAGAAAAAGAAAAAGACGATACAAACCAACCATGAGCAATCATGGTAAATTACCATACCGACTCGGACGTTGCTCGGGTAAACAAGGTTCGCATCCTCTACCAAGTAACCGGAAAAGAGTCAAAAAAAATTGGCTACTGGAAAAATAAAAAAAACTAACAACACGGCAACAAACACACAAGAATTAAAAATAATCAAAGACACACTAACAGTTGAAACGTGGAACGTTCAGACACTATGGACAACTGGAAAACTAGAGTTGCTAAGAAATGAGATGAAGAGATTCAGGTACGATATAATTGGTATTTCGGAAGTACGCTGGACAGACAAAGGCGAAACATCAAATGGAGACTTCATCTAGTCAGGAGAAGACAGCACATACCTAAGAGGTGTAGGACAGTTACTAAGCACAAAAGCTAGAAAGGCATTCATAGGATACAATTCGATCAGGTCACGAACTATCACGGCTAGGTTCAACGCAGCATCATTCAAAATCACAGTAATACATATATACGCGCCAACATCCGCATCCTCTGATGAGGACATCGAAGCGTTCTACAACACTTTTGAGGAGGCACTAATAAAAATACATAGAAAAGACAAAAAAATTTAGATGATTACGCAAGAAAAATGGGTGTGGGTGTGGGCGGGTGTGGATGTGTATGTCTTTCTCTTCCTCATACAGGCCCACGCCCACACTCACCCACACCTACACCCGCACCCACACCCACACCCACACCCCACACCCCACACCCACATCTTCAAGATAGAATTGTATCATATCGTGTGTTGCTTGTTCGGCTACACTTCGATATTGATCATGTAATTTTAGTCGAACTTCTTGATTTGCAATTGTATTGAAGAATGTTTCTTGCGGTGGTAATTCAGACGATGAAGAAGGCTTTTGATTAGAAATTTGTTGTTTTAATAAATTGAATTCTTCTCTTGTTATTGCTTCTTGATATTTAGCATGACAAAGTTGTTTAACTATTTGTTTCTAAGACGAATGACAAAAAAACAATCAGCTAGTCAATCAGAGAAAATAAAACTGTGTTCAACTGACTTGATAATGAGTTGGACTATGTTAAAGATATTCTAATTCTAATACGCGATCATAATAGTTATATTCAACAACCGCTATTTGATATTCAAAACTGAGACGAATAGATGTAAGGTTTTCTTGGACAAATGTTTCAATCGTTTGTAGATAATCAGAGAATTGATCTTTTTTTATTCGATAATTCATTTTCATAGTGTTTCATTTGATCATCTAATTCAGAAAGATGTCAAGTTACAAAAACTTGACAAGCATCATCATTTTTATTGGCGGTTGATAATTATATTTTTGATTGAACTTCCAGGGGCCAAAGTTGTGGATCAGTATGATCATTGTCGTTCTTTATTTGATTGAATGATTTAAGTTGACCCATTCCTGCTTTCCAATATCTTATCCAAAGAGATTTTTGTAGATTGATCATCGAAAATTGATATATGAGTATACCGATTTGTCGTAATTCTTCCATCTTCTCCATGGATGATATTTGATCGATGATTTTTTCAAAGTATTGACTTCCTTTTGCTAGATAATCTGGAACATTTTCCTCTCTATTTTCACTCATCCTAGTAAGATGTTCAGTTGTTCCCTCGACTGAAGGGAGGGTCATATCAAATAAAATGAGTTTGTATGTTTGTTTGTTTGTTTGATTGCGTGTATGTTTGCAATCACGTGTGAAGTCACGTGCAAACAAATTAACGAGAATGTCGGTGTTGGTGTGGGATGTGGGTATATGGGTGTGGGTGTGGGTGTGGGTGTGTATATGTCTTTCTCTTCCTCATACACACCCACATCCACGCCCACACCCCACAGCATTTTGCTGATCGTCAGGATTAGGGAACTACTACCTAATTCTGTCAGGGGAAAGTATTTTTTGTAGACGGACAATTTCACTATGAAAACATGAAAAATGAGAGACCAACAATATATCGTTTGAAAAAAGAGAATCCAGAGATTACCTGAATAGAGAAATATTTTTTGATCGGATATAAAATAGTCGCACATTAGTTGAAACAAAAAATGGTAAAAGTTTTTCGACAGAATTAGGAAAATGTACTGTGCCTACGAGGGAACATTCCCAACTGTTAATCGCCGATCGAAGTGATATTTTGCTCATAAGCAGGACTCAATGAGACTAGGAAAAGACTAAAAAGATTCGTTCCCATAGGCCTTCCTTCTGGAGTTATGACCATTTTACGAACTTTTCGGCTTAAGGCAAGCTATTCATAAAAAAGCCAAAAAGAAGGAACTTCCATCTGAAGTTTTGCCCATAAGTAGATCTTATGATCTTTAGGACATCCTGAAAGTTTCAGTCAAAACGGATGGTTCCTTCTCGAGATATAGAATACTAAAGAAAAGTCGTTTTTATGACCTTTTTTGTGACATATGATTATTTTTTTTGAATTTTCAGTATCTCAAGAACGAACCATTCGTTTTGACTGAAGCTTTCAGGATGTCATAAAGATCGTAAGATCTACTTATGGGCAAAACTTCAGATGGCAATTCCTTCTTTTTGACTTTTTTATGAATAGCTTGCCTTAAGCCGAAAAGTTCGTAAAATGGTCATAACTCCAGAAGGAAGGCCTATGGGAACGAATCTTTTTAGTCTTTTCCTAGTCTCATTGAGTCCTGCTTATGAGTAAAATATCACTTCGATCGGTGATTAACAGTTGGGAATGTTCCGTCGCTAGAGAATTACTGTTTGGGTGACACTGGAAAAGCAACACCTGATGCCTGACATCTCTCACGAAATTCTTGCATGATTCAATAGTAAATATACTATTATGTATTCATTCTATGAGTGACGTTTTTATACCAATACTTCTGCATTTGATAAGATATACACAACAGTCAGTTACCTGGTAATGTGGTAGATATACACACCCTCTAACCCGCTTATAGTAATATTTATTGATCTTTGTTTTTCTTTCATTGGAAATAAAGTTCTGTATGGATACATGTATTTTGTTTATGATTCTTTAATAGAATTATTTTGAACAAATACGACAGAGTCAAAGCCATCTGATGAAGACCCTTAAGCAAGGCAGAAATCTGGATCATGGCATGCTGGATTCACCCCTCACCCTCTAATAGTTTCCATTTTTATTCATAACAGAAATCTCTACAGCAGGCACATTGTCCGTATGTCACATTTCTAGTATTATTTTTTAATCTTGTGTACTTAATATCACGATGGTTTGAATAAAAAAAAAGAGATATTTATTCAAAACGATCAGTTAAGTCATAAGAATAAGTGTTGTCTAATTGCACTACAACAAACTGAAAGAGTAATTCACTTTTACACAAAATGTCAGGTGGTACTGCACATAAATAATCGCTCGAATCTAACTAAATAACGTGAGCTGCTGAAGAACAGAAAAATTAGTCGAATGTAATAGTGACACCAACATTATTTGGACAGATCGTAAATTTCTGGCTGTGTCCACCTGCATTGACTTCCGGACCACCATCACCGAAAGTTACATGTTGCATAAGTCCAGCTGCGATTGCTTTCAATTCAAATCGAGCTAAATCTTGCCCAATACATTGTCGATGACCACCACCGAATGGAATCAATGCATACGGATGATGATCTTTGTCTTCACCTTGAAATCGTTCTGGATAGAATAAATCTGGATCGATCTTCCAATAACGTTTGTCTCGAGTTAAATTATAAATATTAACCATTAGTTCATCACCTTTATACAATTGAGCTCCACTTGCTGGTAGTCGATCATTAGTAATTACATTGCGAACTGCGAAACTGGCAGGTGGAGCAAAACGCAATACTTCTTCAAGAACACAATTTAAATAGTCAAGAGAGTCGAGCTGTTCAATAGACAGACGTTGATGTTTGTTGTCACCTAGTTCGGTTTTAATCTTTGCTTGAACACGAGGATTTTTACTCATTAGATGAATGAACCATGCGAGTGCAGTCGATGTTGTTTCGTAACCAGCCACAAGAAACAGAAGGATTTCATGGAATACTTCCGTACGAGATAGTCCTTAACAAGAGAAGAAGAAAAAAACACAATTTTCAATCTTGATCTTCAAGATTCGATTAGTAAAAGTGCCAAAAAAGAGAGAAGCTTCTTAATCAAGACAGTTCTATCGAAAATAACTGATTTACCTTTCCGTTTGTCCTCTGGTTTTGCCGCTTCACTCTTCTCATCTTGTTGCAAAGAATTGACAAGTGATGCAATCAGACTAGTTGTCTTTCGTTCGACAATCGATACTGCTGTCTTGCTTTGTTCTTCCTCAATCATTCTATTTATATACTCGCGGATAATAGTCATTGCTTGCAGATATCGAGGACTAAATTTCAGATAGATTTTAGCCACAACTGATGGCATGTAGACAGCCAATAGAAAAATATCAAAAAAATCTCGTAAAGCGTTTGCGAGTCTATTAGTTTTGACAACGTCATCATAGTTTAACGTTTCTAGGTCATAGTCAAAGGCAATGAAGCCAAATATTGCGAGTGACAGATCTTGACATTGGTTTACTATGTCGAGATGAATACGAGTAGGATCGTCGTTCTTTGAACGCCATCGATCAAGTAATCTGTCTGTACAATCATTAATTAGTTCCAAATTGCCCAAGATTTTACCACGACGAAATAGAGGAAGGACTATACTTGCATGACGCTTGTACTTGGCTCCTGCAATAGAAAGAAATAACCGGATATGACCATCGATTTTCTATAGACAATTTCAAAGTATGGAAAATATAGCAATTTGTTTCAAAGGATGAAAGCGCATAAGGCCGTTTTGCGCCCCCCCCCCCCCCCTCAAAACTCATTTATTTCTATCGGACTTTAATAAGCATTCGATCCTGACCATATTTTTCAACTTTATTCTCGGAAAAATGACATTCGCGATTTTGGTTTCTGCGGTCCCCTCAGGTAACATGGAAAAACAAATTCGTTTTTCTCAAGTCAAAACCAAATGGAACTATAGACTCAAAGGTGCTGATTACGAAAATAGAAATGAAACTACTACAAAATATTTTCCTCCTTAAATGGTCCAGACTACTTCAGATATCCCATTCTTGATTGTTTGGAGCCCTGTGCAAGAGCCGTTCACTAAAGTTTCACGGAAAATACTTTCTTCTACCTGAAACTTTGAGTGCCTCACGAATCTGAACTCTTTAGAATGCAAAAATGAGACCTTTGAAAAGTAGATGGGGACTCTTGGGCAGAAATTAGCACTTTTACGCATTTATCGGTTTTTGTTCTAATAACTTTTCATGAAGCGAGCCTTACCGCAACCTGAGATTTTGAGCTTAGGGGAAACTTTTCAAGCTCTATCGACTGAAGGACTCAAAAGTAAGAAAAAATTGTGCAACAGTGTCAAAACTTCAAAATACTAAAAAAAGATAGAAAATGCTGTGGGGGACCACAGCCACTAGTATACATGAGATCTTGAAATCAACTGATATATAACACATCTTATGGAACCTAATGAAGTATACATGCCGGAAAAATTACATCGATTTCCATGCTTTCTTTCGTCTCAGGAATTGATTCGAAATCTCACTGCAGTACTATGATCCCCAAAGTTTGTGAAGCGAATTTTTCCACTTCAAAGAAAGCATGGAAATCGATGAAACTTTTCCTGCATTCATACTTAATTATGATCTACAAGATGTGTTATATATCAGTTGATTTCGAGATCTTACGTACGCTGATGACTGCGGTTCCCACAGTATTTTATATATTTTTTTAGTATTTTGAAGTTTTGACACTGTTGCACAAGTTTTTTCTTACTTTTGAGACCTTCAGTCGATAGAGCGCGAAAAACTACTCTTATGAGCAAAATTTGACCTTGCGGCAAGACTTACTTGATGTCGAGTGTAGAAAAATATAGTAAAAACGGGCCAATTTTAGTCCTAATTCGGACTTTTGACCCTGTTGCACGACTTTTTCTTCTGTTTCCAGCTCACTAGTCGATAGAGCTTGAAAAGTTACTCTAAGCTCAAAATCTCAGGTTGCGGCAAGGTCCGCTTCATGAAAAGTTATTAGGACAAAAAATCTATAAATGCGTAAAGAGCCAATTTCTGCCCCAAATCCTCATCTACTTTTCAAAGACCACATTTTTGCATTCCAAAGAGTTTAGATTCATGAAGAGCTCATAATTTCAGGTAGAAGAAAGTATTTTTGGTCAAACTTCAATGAATGGCTCTTGCACAGGGGTCCAAAGAGTCAAAAATGGGGTATCTGAAGTGGTCAGGACCATTTAAGGAGGAAAACATTTTCTAGCAGTTTCATTTCGATTTTCGTGATCAGCATCTTTGAATCTATAGTTTCATTTGGTTTTACCTTGAGAAATACGAAATTTGTTTTTCATGTTACCGGGGAGGACCGTAGGAATCAAACCCAAGCAGACAAACTTTTGAGAAAACGCGTTTAAAAGCACAAAAAGTGGACGTTTTTGGCTCACACTTGAGGTTCCTGACTGTGTGCCAAAAAACGCCCATTTTTTACCCTTTTTGTGCGTTTAAACGCGTTTTCAGACAAAAAATGCGTTTACACGTATACTAAAAAGAGAAAAAGTGGTCGTTTTTTATATTTCAGATGCTCGATCATGCCTACAGTCACGTTTCTCGAGCTGGAAAAAGAGAACAGCTTATTTCTTTTTTTAGTATACGTGTAAACGCACTTTTTATCTGAAAACACATTTAAACGCACAAAAAGGGTAAAAAGTGGGCGTTTTTGGCTCACAGTCGGAAACTTCAAGTGTGAGCCAAGAACGTCCACTTTTTGCTGATTTTTGGGCCAATTTTTGTGCGTTTAAACGTGTTTTCTTAAAAGTCTGTCTGCCTGGGAAATCATGAATGCCATTTTTCCGGGAATAAAGTTGAAAAATATGATCAGGATCGAATGGTTATTAAAGCCCGATAGAAATAAATGAGCTTTGAGGAGGGCCGCAAAACGGCCTTATCCGTCTTCATCCTTTAGGAAAAACCTCTACCAATCCTAATCCTTCTGTTCTTGATTTTTGTTCTTCAAAATTGTTTTTTCTTCCTTATATCACTGACTATATTTCCCGAAAATGGAACAATTCAACTATGCTAATATCTATCACTGACCTACATTGCAAACGACTGCATCGGGGAAGAAAAGAGCATGATGATTTGTGTGTATAGCGCCTTGTTCGTAGATGTGTCGTTGACTAAACACATATTGTATATCTTCAGCGTTGCAGATACCAATCATTCTCAAGGGTCCCGCCCAGTATTGAAAAACATCGCCAAATTCGGCTTGCATTTGCAGGTTGATAGTCGCTTGCGAAACTCCGCGTAACATGCCCATCTGTATGATATTTCCGAATAAAAATTGAGGTGGTTTTCCAGGCAAAGGGCCACGCAGAGTAAGTATTTTAGTTTGATGTGAAGAACACATATTATCAGCAGAATAACGACAAGAACAAGAAACATCGCCATAATACAAGTGCACAACAAAGAAAGTAATATGCTTCGGCCTTGCTTTCTTTCTCTACCGTAGTATTGCTGTAAGAAGGACAAAAAAAAACAGAAAAAATGATTTTGCAGGCACCCCACTTCGAAATATCAAAAGCAGAGAACGGTACAGATAAGAAAAAACGTTTTTGAGACTGCTCGCCGATCATAGTATTGTAATGGGAGAGGAAGAAACGTGAGTCTACTGACTGACTTACCATGCACAAATAGAACAATATACAGGGAGGAGAGAGAAAGAGAACAAGCGAAAATGGAGAGAATGATGATAAAATGAGTGACTATCTGCAACAGTCAGCGTATGTGCCTGTGAATTCTGTCACAACCTTATACTAGAAATCAATATATATAATATCCAGGTCGAATAAGTACGGCCGTAAACGACTGTGTGCAGTACAACATGACCTTAAACGGTCGTGTTTTGGCGATTTGGTAGCCGTATTACGACAGTGTATCGCCGTGCCAGAACGGCGATAAACGGTCATAAATGACCGAAAAAAAAGAATATACAGCCGTTTACAACGCGGTAATATACGGCTGTAATACGGGCACTACCAAATCGACAAAACACGACCGTTTACGGCCGTAAAACGGTCTGATACAGCCCCATTTACGCCGTTTACAGTCTCCGTATTTCATCAACTTGATATTTAGAGTACTATACAAGTATTTTTGCCAACCGTTGAGACAAATATTGAAAAGCTGATTCTAGTGTAGTTCTTTAAAGTACTGTCCCGTAGGATCAATGCATTTGTACATTCGAATAAATCAGTCATGAAAGCAGTTTTTGAAGTTGTCTATTGTAAGGTAATCAATGGGTTATTCCAGCATATCCAAAATTGCGTTAACGTCGTCGAATTGAATTCTATGCAGTTGACTTTTGAGTTTCGGGAACACAAACAAGCAATACGGACTAAGAGTTGGAGAATTTGGTGGAACTGAAGTATGGTTTCAGACGCATGATTTCCTGCCAAAAATTCGTCGATAACCCAAGCTGTCTCAAGCAGATAAGTGACATTCAAAACTCGGTGAAAACGCTCAATTCTTTTCAGTGTTTTCACGTCTTATAATTTTTACGTTTTTAGATGCCAATCGGGAATCGCTATTGGCCAGAGATGGACAAGTCAAGTCAAAACTGACTTAAGTCAAAATCAAGTCAAGTCATTTTTGATTTGATTTGACTTGACTTGAAAAAGGGTAAGATGAATTGCGACTTGACTGTGGCTTGTGAACGTTTTTTTTATTGACTGGTGACTTGGTCTGACTTGGCTTGATTTGCGACTTGCCGAAAAAATGCAAGTCAAGCATATTCTTGTAGTTATATTGTACATTAGATTTAGAAAGCCTGAAGTTATCCTTTTTTCTACTGTGAACTTTTGAACTTTTATCATAGCTAGTATATAGAAAATCTCCATTTTCTCTTTATGATAAAT